GGATGTACCGAGGCGTGAACCATGAAGGTGGGAGGTAATGAGGATGTACCGGGGCGTGAACCATGCAGGGCGGAGGAAATGAGGATGTCCTTGACGTGAACAATGAAGGTGGGAGGTAATGAGGATGTACCGGGGCGTGAACCATGAAGGTCGGAGGTAATGAGGATGTACCGGGGCGTGAACCATGAAGGTGGGAGGTAATGAGGATGTACCGGGGCGTGAACCATGAAGATGGGAGGTAATGAGGATGTACCGAGGCGTGAACCATGAAGCTGGGAGGTAATGAGGATGTACCGGGGCGTGAACCATGAAAAGGGAAAAGTAAAGAGGATGTACCGGGGCTTGAACCATGAAGGCAGGAGGTAATGAGGATGTACCGTGGCGTGAACCATGAAAGTGGAAGGTAATGAGGATGTACCGGGACGTGAATCATGAAGCTGGGAGGTAATGAGGATATACTGGGGCGTGAACCATGAAGCTGGGAGGTAATGACGGTGTACCGGGGCGTGAACCATAAAGGTAATGAGGATGTACCATGGCGTGAACCATGAAGCTGGGAGGTAATGAGGATGTACCATGGAGTGAACCATGAAGGGGGAAGGTAATGAGAATGTACCGGGGCGTGAACCATGAAGGTCGGAGGTAATGAGGATGTACCGGGGCGTGAACCATGATGGTGGGAGGTAATGAGGATGTACCAGGGCGTGAACCATGAAGGGCGGAGGAAATGAGGATGTACCGGGGCGTGAACAATGAAGGTGGGAGGTAATGAGGATGTACCGGGACGTGAACCATGAAGGTGGGAGGTAATGAGAATGTACCGGGGCATGAACCATGAAGGTAAGAGGTAATGATAATGTACCGGGACGTGAACCATGAAGGTGAGAGGTAATGAGGATGTACCGGGGCGTGAACCATGACGGGAGGGCGGTAATGAGGATGTACCGGGGCGTGAACCATGAAAGGCGGAGGAAATGAGGATGTACCGGGGCGTGAACCATGAAGGTGGGAGGTAATGAGGATGTACCGGGGCGTGAACCATGAAGGTGGGAGGTAATGAAGATGTACCGGGGCGTGAACCATGAAGGTGGGAGGTAATGACGATGTACCGGGGCGTCAACCATGAAGGTGGGAGGTAATGACGATGTACTGGGGCGTCAACCATGAAGGTGGGAGGAAATAAGGATGCACCGGGGATGGAACCATGAAGGGGGGGAGGTAATGATGTACCGGGCGTGAACCATGAAGGAAGGTAATGAGGATGTACCGGGGCGTGAACCATGAAGCTGGGAGGTAATGAGGATGTACCGGGGCGTGAACCATGAAGCTGGGAGGTAATGAGAATGTACCGGGGCGTGAACCATGAAGGAGGGGACGTAATGAGGATGCACTGGGACGTAAACCATGAAACTGGGAGGTAATGAGGATGTACCGGGGCGTGAACCATGAAGCTGGGAGGTAATGAGGATGTACCGGGGCGTGAACAATGAAAGAGGGGAGGTAATGATGTACCGGGGCGTGAACAATGAAAGAGGGGAGGTAATGATGTACCGGGGCGTGAACCATGAAGCTGGGACGTAATGAGGATGTACCGGGACGTGAACCATGATGGGAGGAGGTAATGAGGATGTACCGGGGCGTGAACTATGATGGGAGGAGGTAATGAGGATGTACCGGGGCGTGAACCATGAAGGGAGGAGGATATGAGGATGTACCGGGGCGTGAACCATGACGGGAGAGGTAATGAGGATGTCTTGGGCCGTGAACCATGAAGGAGGGAGGTAATGAGGATGTACCAGGGCGTGAACCATTTAGTTGGAGGTAATGAGGATGTACCGGGGCATGAACCATGAAGGGGGGGAGGTAATGAGGATGCACCGGGGCGTGAACCATGAAGGGGGAGGTAATGAGGATGTACCGGGACGTGAACCATGAAATTGGAAAAGTAATGAGAATGTACCGGGGCGTGAATCATGAAGGTAGGAGGAAATGAGGATGCACCGGGGATGGAACCATGAACGGGGGGAGGTAATGAGGATATATACCGGGACGTGAACCATGAAGCTGGGAGGTAATGACGATGTACCGGGGCGTGAACAATGAAAGAGGGGAGGTAATGAGGATGTACCGGGGCGTGAACCATGAAGCTGGGAGGTAATGTGGATGTACCGGGACGTGAACCATGATGGGAGGAAGTAATGAGGATGTACCGGGGCGTGAACTATGATGGGAGGAGGTAATGAGGATGTACCGGGGCGTGAACCATGAAGGGAGGAGGAAATGAGGATGTACCGGGGCGTGAACCATAAAGGGCGGAGGTAATGAGGATGTACCGGGGCGTGAACCATGAAGGGCGGAGGAAATGAGGATGTTCCGGGGCGTGAACCATGAAGGTAGGAGATAATGAGGATGTACCGGGACGTGAACCATGAAGGAGAGAGCTAATGAGAATGTACCGAGGCGAGAACCATGGAGGTAATGAGGATGTACCGGGGCGTGAACCATGAAGGGAGGAGGAAATGAGGATGTACCGGGGCGTGAACCATGAAGGGAGGAGGAAATGAGGATGTACCGGGGCGTGAACCATGAAGGGAGGAGGAAATGAGGATGTACCGGGGCGTGAACCATGAACTTTGGAGGTAATGAGGATGTACCGGGGCGTGAACCATGATGGTGGGAGGTAATGAGGATGTACCGGGGCGTGAACCATGAAGGGAGGAGGAAATGATGTACCGGGGCGTGAACCATGAAGGGAGGAGGTAATGAGGATGTACCGGGGCGTGAACCATGAAGGGAGGAGGTAATGAGGATGTACCGGGCGTGAACCATGAAGGTGGGAGGTAATGAGGATGTACCGGGCGTGAACCATGATGGTGGGAGGTAATGAGGATGTACCACGGCGTGAACCATGAAGGGGGAGGAAATGAGGATGCACCGGGGATGGAACCATGAACGGGGGGAGGTAATGAGGATATATACCGGGACGTGAACCATGAAGCTGGGAGGTAATAAGGATGTACCGGTGCGTGAACCATGGCGGGAGGGGTGGTAAAGAGGATGTACCGGGGCGTGAACCATGAAGGGGGAGGTAAAGAGGATGTACCGGGGCGTGAACCATGGAGGGAGCTAATGAGGATGTACCGGGGCGTGAACCATGAAGGTGGGAGGTAATAAGGATGTACCGGTGCGTGAACCATGGAGGGAGCTAATGAGGATGTACCGGGGCGTGAACCATGAAGGGGGGGAGGTAATGAGAATGTACTGGGGCGTGAACCATGAAGGTGGGAGGTAATGAGGATGTACTGGGGCGTGAACCATGGAGGGAGCTAATGAGGATGTACCGGGGCTTGAACCATGAGGGTGGGAGGTAATGAGGATGTACCGGGGCGTGAATGGTGAAGCTGGGAGGTAATGACGATGTACCGGGGCGTGAATCATGAAGGTGGGAGGTAATGAGGATGTACTGGGGCGTGAACCATGAAGCTGGGAGGTAATGAGGATGTACTGGGGCGTGAACCATGAAGCTGGGAGGTAATGAGGATGTACTGGGGCGTGAACCATGAAGGGGGGAGCTAATCAGAAGGTACCGGGGCGTGAACCATGAACGTGGGAGAATGAGGATGTACTGGGGCGTGAACCGTGACGGGAGGGAGGTAATGAGGATGTACCGGGACGTGAACCATGAAGGTGAGAGGTAATGAGGATGTACCGGGGCATGAACCATGAAGGGGGGGAGGTAATGAGAATGTACCGGGGCATGAACCATGAAGGGGGGGGTTAATGAGGATGTACCGGGACGTGAACCATGAATGGGGAGATAATGAAGATGTACCGGGCGTGACCATGAGGGTTGGAGGTAATGAGGATGTACCGGGGCGTGAACCATGAGGGTGGGAGGTAATGAGGATGTACTGGGACGTGAACCATGAATGGGGAGATAATGAAGATGTACCGGGGCGTGACCATGAGGGTTGGAGGTAATGAGGATGTACCGGAGCGTGAACCATGAAGGGGGGGAGGTAGTGATGATGTACCGGGGCGTGAACCATGAAGGGGGGAGGTAGTGAGGATGTACCGGGGCGTGAACCATGAAGGGGGGAGGTAGTGAGGATGTACCGGGGCGTGAACCATGAAGGGGGGAGGTAGTGAGGATGTACCGGGGCGTGAACCATGAAGGGGGGGGGAGGTAATGAGGATGTACCGGGGCGTGAACCATGAAGGGGGGAGGTAGTGAGGATGTACCGGGGCGTGAACCATGAAGGTGGGAGGTAGTGAGGATGTACCGGGGCGTGAACCATGAAGGGGGGAGGTAGTGAGGATGTACCGGGGCGTGAACCATGAAGGGAGGGAGGTAGTGAGGATGTACCGGGGCGTGAACCATGAAGGGGGGAGGTAGTGAGGATGTACCGGGGCGTGAACCATGAAGGGGGGAGGTAGTGAGGATGTACCGGGGCGTGAACCATGAAGGGGGGGGAGGTAATGAGGATGCACCGGGGCGTGAACCATGAAGGGGGGGAGGTAGTGAGGATGTACCGGGGCGTGAACCATGAAGGGGGGGAGGTAGTGAGGATGTACCGGGGCGTGAACCATGAAGGGGGGAGGTAGTGAGGATGTACCGGGGCGTGAACCATGAAGGGGGAGGTAGTGAGGATGTACCGGGGCGTGAACCATGAAGGGAGGGAGGTAGTGAGGATGTACCGGGGCGTGAACCATGAAGGGGGGAGGTAGTGAGGATGTACCGGGGCGTGAACCATGAAGGGGGGAGGTAGTGAGGATGTACCGGGGCGTGAACCATGAAGGGGGGGGAGGTAATGAGGATGCACCGGGGCGTGAACCATGAAGGGGGGGAGGTAGTGAGGATGTACCGGGGAAGGGCAATACGCGGTAAAGAGAACCTATGATCATTACATGATATCAATTTAAGATCATCAAGAATTAATTTGCACGGTATTTTTGGATTAGGTAATATATGTTGAGTGAACGGTGACAACACCACCCACCTGTCCTGATGCGCTCATTGTTCACGTCTCCTCCAACACTTCTACTCCAGACTAAATGTATGTAAATCGACACGTAATGCTCACCACCACACACTTGACATGATCATCACCACACTTGTAAATGGTACACACATTCTATCCACGGTTGTTCATACAACACCTGCCATGTTAAAAAATATATACATTTGCAGGAGGGGGCCATGTATGTTTGTTCAAACTGTATTCACTGTGTTGTACTCATGCATCGCGGGCACATACACTTGTCCTAGCCAACGCACACCCGGCCTATGGTACACACACTTGTCCGAAGGTGCATACGCTTGCCTGGAGAAAGACACACTCACTGGAGCCGAAGTGAACCTGAACTAACCCTCCGGACCCTCGGCGTCTCCGCCACTGACCCGACTGTAAACATTGGCCATACATTTATCACCATCTTACATCAATAAAATATTGTTGCTCTGAAATATTATATAATAAAAATGGTTATTTCAATGATTTCGTTCTCTTAAAACAGTTGATACAAATCATTTGAGTGATGCATAATTATACTGGGCAGTCGTTATGACGATTGGTAATTGCCGTTGTGGTCGTCCCACCTTCTGAAAGCACTTTGTAAAGGTGTTAGGGCGTTCGCGGGGAGGAAGACACCCACCAAGAGCACTATACAAGTAATGCGTAATGCAATGCGTCAATGAGTAAGATGTAGTAACGTGCGTGTAGGCTTTGAAAATATGCGTCGGTTAAGAGGGAATATATATTTTATATGTTCATCTGCGGGACATGAGTGAAAGCCTGATGCGTCGTGCGTCAGTGAAAGAGTGATGCGGAATGCGTCAGTAAATGCATATAGTGAATGAGCAATGCGTAGGTAAATGCATGATTACAGGCGCCAACACAAGCACAACTGGCTCACAGATAATATTTTCATTACCTGTTACAGAAAATAATTTTCTCATAAATTAATGTTATTATATATTGTGTTAATAGATCATGATAATGGTAGGGGTTTTGGCGATGTTATTTGTTTACATTGTGACGATAATCTCCTTCAAGAGATTGAGCCTGCTCTTCCCTCCACAAATACGTCGTTACAACTATATATAACTACTATGGAAGAAATGTCCAACAACGACAACAACATCTCCAAGGTTTGCCAGAGCGCAAAACGTATGCAGCCAGGGACACCTGCTCAGACTCAAACCGCCAAACTACCCGTCTTACTGCCGGCTCCTCGCTGATTGGTCGCCGGTCTGGCTGCAACTGCACTCACCCCCCCATACTACTTGATGTCTGGGGCCGCCACGACCTCAGTCCTCAGAATATTCAGTGCTTTCACACAGTTAACACTTCTCCCTGCTAGACGTAAGCTTTGGCGTACGTGTACTGAGAGAGGTGATAGCTTAAAGCCGATATTCCCGCACCTCTCATTTTTTGTATATTGCACTTCTTGTTATTTTGCTCACTTGTCTTAACGTAACTTTTCATTGTGTCATTTAATTATTCTTATTGTTTTGATTGATTGATTTTATTATACGAATTTGTTTGTCCCTTTTATTCATGTTTTGTTTATTTAACGTAATTAAAATTCCATTGTTAAAGTTTACTTGTGTTTTGTGTGTCTTCTCCTTACCTTACCACAGACGAAGTTCCAGATTTTCTATTTTTTTTTAATACTATGTGACGAGGCCATACCCCTAGCTTTGAACAGCCGAACACCAACGCGTTACCGTCACATATTATATGGGGGCCTGTCCTAGGAGCTTCACTCAGGTACTGGTGCCAAGTGGTAATTAATGGTAAGCGTATTTAACTTTGTTAACGTAGCTTTTACTATTTTTCATATTCAATTTCATTTTTTAAATGGTGCGGTGTATTGTGCATTACGAGAGTATTTTATGGTGAAGGTGAGACAACTTTGGATTACGTGGTGACTGTAGGCCGCAGTCATACTCTTAATTGGTCATCTCTCCCTCCGTGTTATTACTCGTGTTTACCATCTTTGTCCCATGGATATTTCTCATTTTTGACAGATCATCATATTGGTACCCTGGTACTGTGGTCTGCCCCGGGTCAAGTGCACCCAATCTTCTGCAATCTGACTGTAGGAGGACAAAGAGGGCCATAGTTCCTCTAGCTCGAACTTTAGTTGCTGAATTGGGACCTCAGCAGCAGTTCTCGTCACCAGTTGACACCTCGCACCCCTACACGTCAGTCAGAGATGATGATACATACAACGGTAGGGAATTAGCTTACTTTTTCAGAGCACAAAAGTTCGCTAATTCTGTAAGTATCATATTAAATTCAGTAGGAAAGACTTGCTTATGTCCTATAGAGACTTGGCAAGGTATGCCTACATCCTTGGACTACCAATTTTACTTTTGAGACAATTTACTGTTTCACTTGTTTTCGAAACTGTTTCATTTGTTAGTAGGATTTTCTTGCCCTTATCCTCGTACATGAGTACCGGGTACAAGATTTCCTGCGCCCTTGATTTAATTTAATCATTTAACATCTTTTACTTAACTTTAATTGTTAAAGATCTCACAGGATAGGTATCAGTTGCCACGTTGTCCTGTTTCTGACATTCACTATTGAATATTCGTGTACCTTTATTTGCTAATTTCACCATGTTTCGTCTCCAAGCTTTCCGTGCAAATCCAGCAGGTGAAATAGGGACTTTAAGTCGTGCCAAGAGGATTGAATTACAAACTCTTGCACATGAGTATCAACTAGAAGTTCCCTACCAAGCCAACAAAAATGACCTATACAACCTGTTGCTGGATTACTATTTAGAGCAAGGTAAGATAGACTCTGAAACTCATGAAACTTACTATATTGCAGATAAAACTGATTTGGCAACGCTGAAACTCAAACTAGAGCTGGCCAAGATTGAACGTGAGCAGCAAAGGGAAGCAGCTGCCATACGAAGGGAAGAACAAGAACGTGAGATTGCCTTACTCCAGGAGCGGGAACGCGTACGGCTTGAAACCAAACAACGCGAGTTGGAGATGCAACGCGAACATGACAAGCAACAAGCGACTCTGGCTCTAGAGTGTCGTCAACGAGAATACACGTTGGAAACTTCACACCTCGCTCAACGCCAGCAAGCTACTGCCAATCTTCCCGTCAGTTTTAATATATCACATGCAAGTAAGTTAATGCCATCCTTTGTAGAAGCAGAAGTTGATGTGTTCTTTACCACCTTTGAAACTCTTGCTAATCAACTCAGTTGGCCTGTCGACCAATGGGCCACACTTCTCAGAGTCCATCTTACAGGTAGAGCTGCAGTCACACTCAGTACTTTGGCGTCTGAGAATGACTACCACACTCTGAAACAAGCAGTGTTGGACGCCTACCTACTTTCCACCGAAAGTTATAGAAGGAAATTCCGTGACCACCTGAAGGCAAGTACCACTACCTTCCTCGAGTTTGCTAACACGAAACGGAGGTATTTCATGAAATGGCTGGAAGCAGCACATGTCTCTACTTTTACAGAACTCGTCAACCTGATGCTTGTTGAAGAATTCTTGAGGCGTGTGCCGCCTCCTGTCCGCCTCTACTTAGCAGATAAAGAAGAAACCGACTACCTGAAGTGTGCTAAGTCGGCTGACACTTACAGCCTCATCCACCGGCTGACACCCGAACCATCCTCCAGTAAGAAGTCGTGGTACAGTTACGAGAAAGTGAGCCCTGATCAAGCTGGTTCGCAACTGTACTGCAAGTATTGTAGACTCTATGGACATACCATAGACAAGTGTGGTAAGTCTCAATACAAGGGAACCACTGACCAACAAAAACCCAAACCAACTCCTCCTAAGTCCGGTAAGCCTGTGATGAATGTTGGTGTTGATGTTAATGATCTTTCTCTTTTCAGTAACCACCTGTATACTGGAACTGTCTCTGCCAACGGTTCAAATCCGGAGGGACGTTTCAAATTGAAGATCTTGAGGGACACAGCGGCTCTACAATCGATCATCTTGAAGTCGGCTGTGCCCAACATCACCTACACCGGAGAAACTGTCTTCATCACTGACCTCACTGCTACCACTCCATACCCTCTCGCCAGAGTCCACCTGGATTGTCCCTACGTGAACGGGGAAGTCCAAGTCGCCGTCAGGGAAAAGCCTTTTCCCATGCCTGGAGTGCAACTTCTCCTAGGCAACGACTTGGCAGAAGACCTGCAACCGACCAACCTGATCGTCATGGACAAACCCCAGGTGTGTAACTCTGTGCCAATAAACCCTATTCTAGAGTATGTTCCAGCAGAGGTTCAAGAGAGTGATGAAGTTTCTCCTCCGGTTCTCGTGACCACCCGTGCACAAGCCGCACGTCCACAGCCAGCTGACTCTACTGCTACCGCTGTCCCTCAAGACCCTCAGAAACTACCCCCGCATCTGACCAAGTTGGAGTTCCGTAAGTTGCAGAGGGAAGATCTTACTTTAACACCATTGTTTTTCCAGGCTGAGACTCAACCCGACAGTATTCCTGGGTTCTTCCTAGAGAACGACTTGCTCTACCGCAGATATAGACCCAGTAAACTGAAGGAGGAGGACGATTGGGCCAACATCGAACAACTTGTGATTCCCACCAGCCTGTGGCCCACTATTCTACACCTGGCCCATGGAGCGCTCTCCCACTACGGCTTCAACAAGACTTACCATGGAATTCGTCAAGACTACTACTGGCCAGGTATGGTAAATAACGTCAAACAGTACGTAAAACAGTGTCATACATGTCAGATGGCAGGCAAACCGAACATCTCCATTCCCAGAGCGCCACTGAATCCCATACAGGTGCCTGCGGAACCTTTCCACAGACTCATAATAGACTGTGTTGGTCCTTTACCTCGGACCAGTTCCGGTAACGCCTACATCCTAACCATCCTGTGTCCTACCACCAGATTTCCCATAGCAGTTCCAGTGAAGAACATCACGGCTGCTACGGTTATAAAACATCTATTGAAGATCTTCACTCAATACGGATTTCCCAGGGAAATTCAGAGCGACTGTGGTACCAACTTCACCAGTGATCTCTTCAAAAGGACACTGGAGGAGTTCAACATCAAACAGGTATTGTCCAGCCCCTATCATCCTGCTTCACAAGGTTCTCTTGAACGTAGTCATCAGACAATCAAAGCACTCTTGAAAAAGTTTTGTAGTGAAACCTCTAAGGATTGGGATAAGCAGATTGACCTTATAATGTGTATTTACAGAAGTCTCCCCAATGAGTCCCTAGGAGTATCTCCTTATGAGATGCTCTACGGCCGTAAGTGCCGTACTCCCCTTAAGGCTTTCAAAGACTCTCTCAGAGATGCCACCTTCAGTGAGCATCAGAATGTGCCCCAGTTTCTTCAAAACCTTCAACACATTCTAGAGAGAGTCCACC